GCTGACCTAATCTGCAATTGATGCATTTGAATTTTTACTTCAGGGTATCTTCACAAATCCAATTTTCTGCGTCATCTGGATTACAACAATGATCTCGCAAGTGCTAATTGTACAGTTCGGAGGACATTGGTTCTCCACTGCTCCTTTGGATGCCATACAATGGGCATTCTGTATTGCCTGTGGCGTTGGCGAACTTATCTGGGGACAGGTGAGTAGGAGTAGAAAAAATTTTTTGTACTATTACCCGAAGCTACAATTGTGTACAAAATTTTTTTATTTGAATTTGTTTGCCTTACACTGCACAAGCTTATATTTGATCAAAATGGATTTTCATTTCTCACATCAGTTTCACACATATCATGCACTCGCTCAGAATTTTTTAGCTTTTGATGTAGAAAAATCATTTTCTTCAATCACTGTAGCTTAGCATATGCCACAACAATTTTTGTCAAAATTGTTTGCAGTGTTTTTTCAGCACTTAAAAGCAATTTCGTACACAATAATCGACGGGAGATAGTCCCGTCATTCACGTTGAGTTTGTTTTCGTTCATCACTCTAGTTTGCCTCAGATCGTAAACACGATACCAGCTTCGATCTTGCCGAAATCGTTCCGATTCGGTAAGGGCGAAGTCAAGCCAACGTCAATTATGCTATCTGGTGAATACGACATTCCTTCGTCATCTTCGGCTGTACAAAAACCAGATGGAACTATTGAGAAGCGACCAGGCCAGATGCTTTGGCTACTTGGTCTGACTAGGCTTCAAACGCAGGTGAACATTTATGTTTTTTCCCTCTAAGCGTAGAAAATTATTTAGTTAGCAACTCAGTTCTAGCTCCTAGTTTTGATCGAGAATTTTCGCACATTTGGCACCCACAGGATGTTTTCATCTCATATTGGGTTGTCCTGGAAGTTTTATCGGTTTATTTCATCGATCACCAAAACTCACAGAACAGCAGTCTATGAACAACTTAAGTGCTATCAGATTTTTATCCTCTTTCTTATAGCTATATTTGCTCTCTGATCAACGGTGTCTTTGCGATTTCATCGCCATAACTTTCGAGCCGCCTAACAGAAGTGCTAAATCTTCCCTGAATTTTGAAAATTTTTGTTCGAATTTTTGCAGAGTGTTGGTACTCGTCGTGTAAAGCAAACCTTTGGCTACATTGCACCCTTCTTCAATTACATGAGCCACGTTCATCAAGTCCGTAATAATTAACTATTTGGGAAAAATCGCGCTTTTTGATCACGTTTACCACGTAAGAGTACCGAAAACAAGATGGTAATTCTTCCAAGTAAATCAAAAATGAAATGAAAAATGAAAAAAAATGGAAATGAAAAATTCAATGAC